AAAAAAGCCGGAAGTGGCGCTGTGGCTCAAGTGGTAGAGCGCTAGCCTTGAGCTGAGGGACAGCGCCCAGGCCCAGAGTTCAGGCCCCATGACTGGACCCAAAAACAAAACAAAAGAAACCAGGCTGGGGAATGTGGTTTAGTGGTAGAGTGCTTGCCAGAAATGCATGAAGCCCTGGGATTCCTCAGTACCACATAAACAGAAAAAGCACCAAGTGGCACTGTGGCTCAAGTGGTAACTTTCAGCAAAAAAGTAGCTCGGGGACAGTGCCTGAGTTCAAGCCCCTGGACTGGCAAAAAATAATAAAATACAATAAAATAAGGAACCAGTCACAGTGACATGCCTTGGTCCCCAGCTCATAGTACAATTAAGAGTGATGGTTGCTAACTTCATCAATGACTGATGAGCGCCTGGCTGAACGGGCTATTAGCAGACGGAGCAAATTTATAGGAAGTGCATCACTGGTAAGAAGGGGCATACTCTCAAAGGGGATTTGGGAGTCTGGTCCTTTCCTGGCACTCTGCTCCTTAACTCCATAACTCTGCTTTATTATGCCATTCTGCCAAGATGCTCTGCCTCAGTACAGGCCAAGACTCAGTGGAACCAATCGGCTACGAAACCCTTTCTGCTTTACAATATTGTTTCTCAAAGGAATGTGCCACAGCAATGAAAAGTCTAAACAAATGTCAATGACTTAACTGATAAAAAAAAGAGACTTCTATATAATTAGCTAAAGGTAACAAAAATGAACAGATTCTAATTGGAAGGGCATTTCAATGGTTAAACCAAGAAAGGACAGAGGATTGAATGAGGATTATGGTAACAGCAGTAATATATACTTAAAAAGACTGTAATGTCTTCTGATTGGGGATAAAAATACCTGTATATCAGACACTGGCTTCTTATGAATATTTTTCTCATCTGATGCATGCAAGAAAAACTCTTTCTTTCCATCTGGAACTTTGTCAATAAACCATCCTTTCTCAGATTCTCTGGCAGGGGTCTTCAAAGAAACGGAGGCTATTCGTGGTGTTGAAGTGGTGGTCTCCTTGTGCTCCAACTCCAGAGTATTTGAAACAGAATTGAGATTTCCTTTCCGATATAAAGACAGCAAGGAACTGTTCATGTGATTGGTTGACTGAGAGGAAAACAATTTTAGTATGAATTAAAACTGAACCAATACTCTGAGTCATTAGTAAACCATCAATTCAAAGCCAGATCAAATATAAGTATCATTGCTTTGTTAAATTCGAAACCTGTTTTTCTGAAGGGGTAAAATGGACTACAAGTTATATATGCAACTTGGAATATATATATATATATATATACATATAGCCTGAGCGCTAACCCTCAGCTCTTCACCTCAAGGCGAGCGCTCTACCACTTGAGCTACAGCGCCACTTCGGGTTTTCTGGTGGTTTATTGGAGATAGGAGTCTCACGGTCTCTCCTGCCCGGGCTGGCTTTGAACCGTGATCCTCAGATCTCAGCCTCCTGAGTAGCTAGGATTATAGGCGTGAGCCACCAGCGCCCTGCAAGGAATATATTTTTATATACACACACATGAACATATATGTATATGTATATATATTATTGCCACAGCTCATTAATCAAGCCTACTCATCAGCAATGACAATTCCGTGGCAGAAAATACATCCTTTTCTCCATTTTTAGTAGTAGTTTCTTTCTATTTCTCTCTGCCTTTTTGACTGTTTTTTTCCTTTTTCTTTTCCCTGTAGAACTAAACACAAAACAATAAAGTTATTTACAGTGTACATAGAAGCATTCAATTACTTATTGATAAACAGGGCCAATGTTTCTCACTCTATTCATTACTTTTTCCTAAGTTAAGGTCACAATGATTTTTTTTTTTTGGCCAGTCCTGTGGCTTGAACTCGGGGCCTGGGGATTATCCCTGAGCTTCTTTTACTCAAGGCTAGCACTCTCCAACTTGTGCCACAGCTCCACATATGGCTTTTTCTGTTTATGTGGCACTGAGGAATGGAACCCAGGACAATGCGGCTAGGCAAGCGCGCCACATTCACAGCTCACAATGACTTTATTAAATATTACCTTACCTGTGGATCCAGGTGATCTTCCACATTTGAACTATCATCAGAATAGCTTTCAGAAGACCTCAGTAAAAAGAAGAAAAACGTTTTAAATACTTTTTGTCCTATGTCTAAAAAATTACGACCACAAACAAATAAATACACTAAAGTAAAAGTCCACAGTGGTTAACCGTTTTGGAAGGGTGTACTTAAGAGTCTTTTGCCTGTTGTATGCTTGCCAGATTTTTGGCTTCTCCAGAAGTAAACTTTGCCTTGCTTGGGAGTGGGGGGGGTAGGGGAGGGGAGAAGAGGGAGGAACGGACTGCAGTTACGTAACTGAACTGAGCAACGGGGAGAAGTACAAATTCCCATTAGATCAAGGGTTAAGGTAAAAATAATTCTCATATAATATGGCATTAAAGCCTAACAAAAAACTATTCAAACAAAGACTTTTTTTTTGGTCTGGTCTTGGGGCATGAACTCTGGGTCTGGGTGCTGTCCCTCAGCTCTTCAGCTCAAGGCTAGCGCTCTACCACTTGAGCCACAGCACCACTTCCAGCTTTTTTTCTTATGTGGTGCTGAGGAATCGAACCCAGGGCCTAAGGCATGTAAGGCAAGCGCTCTACTACTAAGCCACCTTCCCAGCCCCACTAAGACTTTTTTTTGAGTGTGTGCTGGTACTGGGACTTGAACTAAGGCCAGGGCATTCTTCTTTAAGCTTTCTGACTCAAAGCTGGTACTCTACCACTTGGGCCAGGACTCCACTTCTAGATTTTTGCCGATCAACTGCAGACAAGAGTCTCATAAACTTTCCTTCCCAGGCTGGCTCCCAATTGCAACCCTCAGATCTCAGACTTCTGAGTACACAGAATTATAGGCAGAAGAAATTGGCACCCAGATTCACATTGAAACTACTTTCTGAATTCATTGTACCTCAAAGTTGATACCTAATAGTTTACATAGTTTACTATGTAAAGATGTCTTTAAAAGTTGTTTAAATAAGCCGGGTGCAGGTGGCTGAAATCCTATCTACTCAGCAGGCTGAGATTTGAGGATTGTGGTTCAAAGCCAGCCTGGGCAGGAAAGTCCATGAAACTCTTTTTTTTTTTTTTGTCAGTAATGGGGCTTGAATTCTGGGCCTGGACACTGTCCTTCAGCTCTTCAGCACAAGGGGAGTGAGCCACAGTGCCTCTTCGGCTTTTTTCTGCTTATGTGGTGCTGAGGAATCGAACCCAGGGCCTCATGCATGCGAGGCAAGCACTCTACCACTGAGCTACCTTTCCAGCCTCCCATGAAACTCTTAACTCTAAATAGCCACCAGAAAACTGGAAGTGAAGCTGTAGCTCAAAGTGGTAGAGTGTTAACCTAGAGCAGAAAAGCTCAGGGACAGTGCCCTGGCCCTGAGTTTAAGTACCATGACCAAAAAACAGAAAACAAACAAAAAAGCCAATATGACAGGAAGAAAAGGTGTGGACACAGGGTAGGTAATACTCAGGTTCTTGCTAATGATGAACAGCTACTGAAAGTATTACAAGTATGAATATAATTCTTAGGGAAAAGAAACCCTCTTGTATTACTTACTCATTATCCTCTTCACCTTGTCTCGATCTTTTTGCCAAGTGTTCATCTTCTAATTCTGTTAGATTCTTAAGTTCTTTCTCACTACTAATTATACTGAACACTGAAACAAAAAACATGTAATCTACTAAATTCGTTCTTTCTATAATTACTAATCATTCAACTCTAACATTAAAAGACTCACCTTTTTCTACCTGAATCCTAAAAGCATTTCTTTTTCTACGGCCATAGTCTATACTGAAAAAAATAACAAGAATTTTAGAATACTGGCATCCACCAGTGGTTTTCCATTAAGTTCTATTTAAAGACTACATCAATTAGCATAAATACACAATTATGTTACTGTTCACATTGGCCTATCTTTTATTTATTTTACTTTTTTGCCAGTCCTGGGGCCTATGCACTGTTCCTGACCTTCTTTTTTGCTCTAGGTTACTAGCACTCTAACACTGGAGCTTCAGTACCATTTCTGGCTTTTTCTGTTTATGTGTTACTGAGGAATCAAACCCATGGCTTTATGCATGCTAGGCAAGCAATCTACTACGAAGCCACATTCCCAGCTCTGAATTTATATTCTATGACTTTTTTCAATTTTATTTTTCAAATTCTTTTTCTTTTTTATCTAATGCTTATTTTCTTATTTTTTGTTAATTGCAGGTTTGAATTTAGGGCTTGGGCAGTATCTCTGAGCAAGTTTACTCAAGGCCAGGGCTCTACCACTTGAGTCACAGCACCACTTCCAGTTTTCTGATGGTTACTTGGAGATAAGAGTCTCATGGACTTTTCTGCCCAGTCTGGCTTGGAACTCCAGGCTAGCTGTGAAACAGATCATCCTGAGTAGCTAGGATTACAGGCCTCATTTTTTTTTTTTTTTTGGTCTGGCCTGGGACTTGAACTCTGGGCCTGGACGCTGTCCCTGAGCTCTTCAGCTCAATGCAAGAGCTCTACCACTTGAGCCACAGAGCCACTTCTGTTTTTTCTGGTAGTTCAATGGAGATAAGAGTCTCATGAGCAGGGGCTGGGAAGGTGGCTCAGTGGTAGAGCGCTTGCCTTGCATGCCTGAGGCCCTGGGTTCGATTCCTCAGCACCACATAAGCAAAAAGAAAAAAGCCGTTAGTGGCGCTGTGGCTCAAGTGGTAAAATACTAGCCTTGAGCTGAAGAACTGAGGGGCAGCGCCCAGGCCCCAAGTTCAGGTCCTAGGACCAGCAAAAAAAAAAAAAAAAAAAGACTCTCACAGAGACTTTTCTGCCCTGGCTGGCTTTGAACAGTGATCCTCAGATCTCAGTCTCTTGAGTAGCCACTGGCACCAGGCTAGCTTCACATTTCTTAGTGGTACCAGAAAGCTTACCTGAGAGTATGTCTGAAGTGTTTAATTTTCTAATGAACACGGCACAGGGGGCTCACGACTGTATAACTAGCTACTCAGGAGGCTGAGCTCTGCAGAACAGTTCATGAGACTCATCAACAATTAGCAAAAAGAAAAAAGTGAGTGCAAGGCCCTGAGTAGTTCAAGCTCCAGAACCAGCATACACACCGAGAGAGAGAGAGAGAGAGAGAGAGAACTCTAATGAAAAAGGAAAGGAGGTGATATAGCAATGTTTCTACCTACTGACAAGGTGAAGTACTGAAATATAAAAAGTTATTGCCTCTCCCTCTGGCTCAGACACCAGCGAATGAGCAAAAGTGTCAGATACCATGTTTAAGTCCCAGTACCCGATAAAGAAAAGGGAAAAAAAGAAAAACAAAAAAGTAGCCATTCCCTCTAGTGAAAGGAACAGCTTACTGCCTATAAAAGATGCTAAAAAATGTTTATACAAATGATTTACAGGATTATCGATTAGTGGGCTGATGCCAGCAGCCATTAGTCACCACTACTTTAAACAAGAATGGAAGCTTTAAATAGTAGGGAACTGAAAGGAAAAGAAAACAAAAAACAAAAAAACAAAGATCCACAAGCTACATTTTTTACCTGTACATTCTCTGCAAATCAGATGCTAAGATTCCGGTGTCCACATATTTGCCACATCTATTACTGGTGAGGTACTAAAAAAGAAAATATGACAAATATAAAACATTAAATATTTCAAACTCAGTGACTTTAGTTAACAAACAAGATAGAGAGTTATTCTAATACACAGTACTTTTTCATAGCAATACAAGGTTTGCACTCAGACGCTTGATCTTGTAGGCAGGCACATGATCCACGATCTTTCAATCTCTAGCTCAGGGGTAGCTGCAATTACAGCCATGAGCTACCATACCTGCCTTTTCTTTGTTTTTGAGACAAAAATCTCACTGTACAGTGCAGACTAGCCTTAATCTGATCTTCTTGCTTTGAGCCACAGAGCCACTTCTGTTTTTCTGCTGGTTATTTGGAGATAGGAGTCTCACAAGTCAGGCAACAATAACACACACCTATAATCGTAGCTATCTAGGCTGAGATCTGAGAATCATAGTTCCAAGCCAGCCCAGGCAGAAAAGTCTCCGTGAGAGTCTTTTCATTAGCCACTCAAAAACCAGAAGTGGAGCTGTAGCTCAAAATAGTAGATAGTGCCCCAGACCCTGAGCTGAAGCCTCATGACTGACCAAAAAAATAAAGTCTCACAAACTTTCCTGCCTGAGCTGGCTTTGAACCACAATCCTCAGACCTCAGCTTTCTGAGTAGCTAGGATATGAGCCTCTGGTACCCGACTCAGAAAAGTCTTAACTAATGAAATATATCCAAAGCAAAAGGTCACCAATTATCAAATCTGGAATCAGAGAATGAATATTATCATCTGTCATGACAACACAGTAAAAATAAAAATAACTATACTAACTTTCAGGTAATCAGTGAAGGATAAGTCTATGTTCTCAAACACACCAGAATATAGCAGTAAACTAGCCAGATAGCTTAAGACACTATTTTTTTTTGGATCAGTTGTGGGCGCCTGAACTCTGGGGCTGGGCGCTGTCCTTCAGCTCTTCAGCTCAAGGCTAGCGCTCCACCACTTGGGCCTCAGCACCACTTCGGGTTTTCTGGTGGTTAACTGGAGATAAGAGTCTCATGGACTTTCCTGCCTGGGTTGGCTTTGGGGCTGGCTTTGAACCATGATCCTCAGATCTTAGCCTCCTGAGTAGCTAGGATTACAGGCGTGAGCCACCAGCACCCAGCTAATACAAGACATTTTGGGAACACAGTGATGTTAGGGCTTGAGGCAATTCAGTTTCAACATTAAGTTGGAGACAGGGTCTTGCTGACCCAGACTGCTCTTGAACGTCTAAACTCTCCCCTCAATTTCCTGAATACTAGTACTACAAGTGCTGGCCACCATGCATGCCCACCCTTACATCATCTTTTATGCCTTACTTTCTAAAAACAGTGAATACAAAGACTCTAAATATTAATGTGGAATGGAAATGAGTGGCAGGGTCAATCTTATTTTAAAGTATGAGATTCTGTGTAATGTCCAATGGGTGCATAAAACTCTAACTAAAAATTACTGTTATTGAAAACTCAAGTATAAATACTTTTCTAGCCAGGCATCGGTGGTGGCTCATCTATGGTGATCCTCAGATCTCATTCTCCTGATCACAGGCGTGAGCCACCGGTTCCAATAGTTGCTATTCTGTCCAGCTCCAACACAATTTCTTCTCCAGAAACCCTAGCACATGACAACAGCAGGGTATTCAAAGCCCGACCAATCGAGTCCGACACTCCTTGTATCCGGGCTCCTCCTACAACATGGTAGTTATTTTAAGTTACTCTTAGTGGTGTACATCTCAATTTTCCTTTTATTGAATCTGCCAAGCCTGCCCCTGGTGCTCACGCCGGTCACCCTAGCTGCTCAGGCGGCTGAGGTCTGAGGAACGCGGTTCAGAGCCAGCGCGGGCAGCCCAGTCCGTGAGGCTCTCCTCCCAGCGAACCACCCGCGAGCCGGAAGCGGCGCTGCGGCTCAGCGGGGGCGCGCGGGCC